GGCGCAGTAGGACACCAGTGAGGCTGACCATGAGGAACGTGGGGAACAGTGCTGTAGTAAGGATGATTGTGAGATCTCAAACATACTGGAAAGTAACGAGAGACAGGCAAGAGCTATAAAGGAAAAGAAAAGAAAAAGTTTTAATCCAAACTCATAAAATCTTTTGTATACAGAAAACACCCCCCCCCATTATTTAAACTTGTCACACATGTTTGGATGCAACTCTTTGATCCTGCTTTCATGTCCAGCCTGGGAACCTTTCTGTGTGGAGTGTGCATATTCCCTGCAACTGCAGTTTCTCTCACAATCTCCCATTTTCAGTTGGTAAAGTAGCACAGTGGTCAGCATCGCTGCCTCACAGGACTGGGGCCCTGGGCTCAATTCTGTACCTGGGGTGCTGTCTGTGTGGAGTTTGTATGTTCTCCCTGTGTTCACTTGGTTTCCAAGTGTCTGGCTTCCTCCCACAGTCCAAAGACATACTGGTAGGTGAACGTGGTCCTGGTGTGAGTGTGTGCATGCTTGTGTCTGTGACGGACTGGTGTCCCGTCTGGTATATGTGGGTGCTTGTTGCTTGCCAGAACAGGCTCCCCTGCAACCCTGTATTGGATAAAGGTTAGAAATTGGAGGGATGGATTCACTGTTTGAAGGAAGGTTCCACAAGCTGTCAAGGTTGACTGGCATTTTAGGACTGATCCTGTAGGCCAGTGCGCCTGCTGTGTACCCTGTGATGGACAGGCAGCTCGTCCAGGGTGTGCTCATACCTTGCGTCCCGAGCTGACCCTGACCAGGAATGAGCAGTCTCTCTGATGATGATAATACTGTTAGTTTAGTGGAGCATGAAGAAGTCACAGTAAAAGTAAAAATACCTGTAACAGAACAGGCTGTCTTTCAGCAGGACCACCTAACCAACGTTCAAAGCTCGTACAGAAGTACGATAAATTATCATCTTCAATTTGGAGTTATTAAAAAACTGAAAAGTGAAACGAAGGCAAGATTAACAGTTGGAATGAATTTGCACAATACAGTATCCCCCCCCCCCAAAAAAATGGGGTTTTTTATGGGGCAGCATCCGAGATATCCTGAAATCGCCTCCTCCAAACTGCGCGCGAATCAGATTTTCACGTCAACAGGGGTACCCAAAACGAACGAACAGGACGGAAACTATCAAAAAATGTTGCAAAGGCAGATTACGGGTGAATATTGTCCTTTTCCTGGTCAAAATAATTTAGACTACAACGCGAAATAAGAAGCTTTGACAAACCTCGATCGTATCCAAACCGTCCAGAACGCGTTTCACGCAACACTGAGTGAACGGTTCATCCTCTCGCGAGAGAACGAGGAACACCTCGTCTAGCGAAGACACCTTTTGTTCTCAAATAATAGAGGGTTTATGAAAAACGTAAAAATGCTTGAGAACACGTGCTGTAGATGCCAAAATCAAACCCCATTCGTGCAAAATAATAAGACATAACGCCATTAATTTCGTTTGAAGTCAAATTGTTCACAGCAGTACGTGTATTGTTTATGAGGTTTCTTTATATTGTCTGCAGGTAAAACGGTAACACATTTTCTAAATTGAAACAGATTTTCCAAGCCCAAAAACGAACACTTTATTCAACAAAATGTGAGTGGCGAGATTACAATTTAAATACCTTTAATAACACCTACATGCCTACATACTAAACGTAATTAAATAATAACATTCTTCATATCCATTTATATTGGCATTTTCCCTCAAAACTATTCTGAATACTCACCAAAGCTTTCTTTGACGAAGTTACAGAAATACACAATGTGGATAAGAATCGTCGTTTTTAAATGTTAATGTATACTTTTAAATTACGTGATACCCCTTTAAATGCACCATAAACCGATTCTGTTTCCCAAATAAAAACTACAGAAAATGCAAAATACGAGCTGTGTTTCACTTCGCTAATATTACGACCGCCGGAGCATTTTTGCCTCACTAGTTCGTCATTCGGAGCCCACAGGTGATGCAGATTGCTAAAAACCCAGCGCCCGTTTTTAACTCGCATTTCAGGCCCTCTGCCGTCTACTTCAGCCCGGATTGTCATTTTATCTAGATTGCTGGTTTATTTGCCCCCGCAGTTAAGATGAGACGTCAGGTCCAGGAGGTATTTCAACATAATGGAGAAGTAATGTAGCATACAGCAATCACCAGTGTACTGCTCCAAATCCGTACAGTTCACAACGATAAAAGATCATTCTGAACTCAGAAAGCAATGAATCCTTTTAACTTAAGGTCCGGCTACTACTTGACAAGTGTCAGTGGAACTTTTCTTGACTGCTACTTGGTAACCATCATCAGAAAGCCCTAGTCCTGGTCATGTAAGGGTGTTCAAACCTGGTTCAGAGTGAATCCAGTTCCATTACAACTCTTAACGAGCCAAACCAGCTGGTCACTAGTTTAACCAGACCAATTTAACAGCTTCTCCCAGCACCGCAGGAGCTAAAAGAGACCTTGAATGGCTGCAGATGCACCGGCCCTCCAGGAACAAGGCTGTAGATCACATAACTTAACTATCACCAGAAGCTGGGTAGCCCCACTGCCTGATGGCTTTCTCTCCAGTTGAATTCTTACTTAATTTTACCGTATTTGAACTAGAAAGAATTTCAGTTACTAAAAAAAACGAGAATTTAAGATGCTTATAAAACATTGAATTGAACTTGATATCCTTGATGGTTGAAAAGCTGAAACCCATGTATGTTTGATTAAGCAAGTCAGTTTGATTTAGTAACAGAGCTGCGCTAGAATGAAGACAGACACTGGGGTGAGCATTCCTGGTCCTGGAGAGCCTGAACTAGCTTGATGGGACCAAGTTCACAGCTTCTCCCACTGCTGAGGTGTTGGAGAGACCTAGGAAACCTGCTGATACCTGTAGCACAACTGGGGACTCCTGCTTTAGATAAGCCACCTTAATAAAACACCACACGAGAAGTAGAAACAGCTTAGCGTGTTTATTGGAGAAAAAAAATCTCTTCTTTCAAAAACACAATGGCTCCTGTGTGGCAAACACAACAAAACACTTTAACACTTTGCCACAGAAATTAAAACCCTGCTTTTAACGAGGGGGCTAGGATTAAAAGCAATTCAAATGTAAAACCCAGACTGTGCCTATAAGAAACTAATCGGTGCATCCCATAAAATGCTCATTCCAAACCTTTAAGGTCAGAAACATGTAAAATGTTAAATCCATTGTAGAACAGACCATTTCATACTACATAAAAGAAAAAAAAACACATACTGAATATGTACCTCCATGCAACATCTAAGTCACTGGACCAATGCAGCAACATTGTAACTCTGTATTTCTCTTTTAAAGTAGACATCTAGCTGTTTTCTAATCCACTTATTCAGTAGAGGGTCATGGGGGTTAGCCAGAGCCTATTACACTAAACAACGAGGTGTAAGGCAGGACACACCCTGGATGGGACACCAGTTCATTGCAAGGCACACAATTTCCCACAAGCCGATTCACTGTCAGAAGTGGGACTCGAACCCACGCTTCCAGGGGAGACTGCGACCTTAACGCAGCACCTTAGACTGCTCTGCCATTCTGATTCGGTTTTGACAAGGCAGAGCAAGAAACAAGGGACTTAACTGGGGAAGTGGGGGGTGTTTTAGCTAGAGAGCAAGGGAGCTAAAACCGCTTCCTGCTGGGGCGGGCACTGACTGGATTGGACTGTGGAGCGTGAGGAACACTCTCATCCAGCACAACAAAGAGCGGGAGCAAGGGATCCTTGCAAACCTCGGAGGCAGAAGGAAGTGAGGCATAGCCAGGTGGGGTTCCTCCATGTCAAAGGATTGTGGGCCATGGACACCCGTCACTTTGCGCTCCTGCCGAAAACCGGACTAACAGTTTCAGAGCCAGGACAGGTATTTGGAGACATGGAATGGGCTGCAACAAGTGGGACCACTCAGGAGGTTTGGAGGGACTTTGTTCAGCGAATCCAGCCTTAATGGCCACTTGCCCATTAAGTTCTTTGTAAGACTTGTATACTTTGCTGTAATAAATTATATTTTCATAAAATACACAGTATGGCTTTGGACTGTGGGCTGAAACTGCTGCAGCTGGAGGAAACCACAGCAACACTAGGAGAACATGCATACTCTACACAGATAGCACTCCAGGAATTGAACACGGGGCCCCATCCTAGGTAACAATACCACCCCTCTGTTAAACTACAATCAGAGACGTACCTAAAAGCACAACAGCAGGACAGAGAGTATCTTTAACTTTGATGGAAATCAAAATTAAAGCCCCAATCCAGCTCCCCCCGTCCCGGGTTTGACTGCTCATAACAACATGAAATGGACCATACCGATATGCAAACAAGGTTCTATTCATTTTCTTTAAAAGGCACTTCTGCAGGACTGTGGTCCTTCATAATCAAGATGACATTTGCTTTTCTAGCTCAAGTCCTTACAAAATGTTGCAGTGTCTTAATAATGCAATAGATCATTGATTGCATAATTGAACCTTCAAATGGAAGATCCTACCCTCAGGGTCTATAAAAGGGCCACATTTTTTTGCTGGTTTTCTTTCCATCTGGATTGTTAATGACATTATTGCACCCAATCAGATAGTGTTTTACAGGTCTTAACGAGCTGCTTCATGGGAAGGTGCCTCTAAACTCAGCGCTGGAGGAGCATCTCTGGGGTCTCAGACGGTGCGGAGGTTGAGGGCCGTGTAGCAGAGGTTGATCCCGGTGCACAGCAGGCCCAGGAGGTTGCAGAGGGAGGAGAGCCCGTGGTAGCGGAAGAAGGAGGTCCTGAGGTTCTTGTACTTGGGGTCCTGCTCGCGCAGCTTGCTGTAGGCCTCCCTGTTGGAGCGCACGCCCACCTCGGCCCCCAGCCCGTGCTCCCGCTCCACCTCCTGCATTTGCAGCATCAGCTCGGCCACAGCCGGGCTGAACCACTGAGCGTTGAGGCCCGCCAGCACCACGGCACTGAAGAACAGGCCCATCTGGAGAGACAGCCAACAGGACACAGTGCGCGTTTGCAAGTCGCCCAGCTCAGGGGTAGCATAGAACAAGCTAACCAGCCATGTTGTCGAAGTTGATACACTGGCTTCTTACAAGACATGGCTGGACTGTATCCTCCAGTGAGGACAGAAGTCACTTCCTTGCACCAAGGGTTGTGGGAGTATGGAACACACTGCCCAGCTACGAAGCCAACAGCATCAACATCAATTACAAAACAGGCTCCTCTTGTTTCTAATTGTTCTTATGTGGCCCAGCCTGCATCTAAAAATCCATGCAGGGCTTAATTGGTCAGAATCATTCTTTGTATCAGATGCATTGATCACAGGATCTAGTAACAGCAACATAGCCTCTAGTTATGATTATTAATTATTATTCACTTAAGCAAATTACTGGGAATTGCATTGAAAGTCAGCAATTTGTTTACAGATATTTGCCTGAAAACATAATGTGGCTCATTCAGTTGTTAGTTGCTATTTGATCAAATTCCAGTCACCCCATGTTGCGGTGACGGGATTTGATAAAGTTAAAAAGCTGGATGGAGAAATTGATGTAGAGAGAGATGACCTGTACAAACTGCTGTTTAGGTTTTCAAAGCAGCTCAACGGGTAGGTTTAGATCACTCTGATCAGAGACTCTCTGGACTGCAGTTCATATCTAATGCAGCAAGATCCAACTCCCACTACTTGAGATGAGGTTTTATCTATACCATATCACGTGACTATTAGAAGAGTAGCAGTCAAGAGTTGTTGTTAAGGACATCCGGCTCTGCACGGTCAGAAATACAGGAGCTCTACATCCAGAATGCATCCAGATGCAGTACCAAAAAAACAAATCTTGGAAGTCTCAACCTATGTAGCCTCAAGACTGGGAAAAAGGCTGGGAAAAAGGACCTGCAGGTAAATTGTTAACTTAAATGGCCACCATCCCATATCTTTTGGGAACATCATGACTGACCTTGGACAGTCACAGGTTGTTTTGTAGATTTAAAACACTTCAGATGTTTGTTTTTTTTAAAGAGTGTGTACACCTGTACAAAAGCAGGCCAGTAAAATCACCAACATTTTTACTGCACGCCATTACTTGAAAGAAAACAGGCGTGTTCAGATGAGATGAACTACATGGTTCTACAATGTGTTTAAAAAGACACACTCCGTGAAACTGATCAATAACCTGTTCCTGGTTGCTTTTGTCAAAGCCCAGCAGCCCAACCCCAGTGGGAGAAGGGCCGTTAGAAAGTTTTTAAGGACTGGTAACCGAGATGGAAGACAGAATTTTCCCAGCTGATAAAAAAAAATCAGATGAGATCTTAAAAACAAAAGAATGTAAAAGCCCAGCCCTTTTCAGATGTTTCAGTAATGTTGTGGTTGCTCTTTTGGCACATCAGGGCTATACAGTTTCCTTTTAAAAGGCTCTAAAAGGGAACACACAGCTGCTCTGCCTTTAATTAGCTAAGTAGCTGAAGAACCGTCTCTCCAGGGAGGTCTGCCTGACTGTGGCCAGGAGGAACTTTCTCACTGCACAGGGTAATCCGTCAGTTACACAAAGCCAATGAGACACGGCACTCTGGGTAATTACAGTAGCTAAGGGCAGGAAAGCTATCCCATGCCCCCTTTCTCACCTGCACAGCCTCGTGGGTATCCAGCAGTTCCCGGGGGTGGTAGACGGCATACACAGCAAGGTTGAGAAAGGAAGATCCAAGTAGGCCGTAGAAGTAGAAGGGGAAGAGTTTGCTCTGAACTAGGCCGAAGGTGTGCCGGGACACTCCTGCTGCCAGGACAAACCCTGCACAGAGACCGATCGAGTTCAAACATTTCAGCCGCCACCTTGGTTTCTCGCTTTCAGTTTTTTTCTGCAGGGGGGCTACTCTGGTTTCACCCAAAAGCTCAGGCAGGGAACCAGGGAGACGCAGGAACGGAATCGCTGGTAAGAAACCAGTGACGCTGGGTGCCAGCCTGCAGAGGACACCTTGAAGGCGTCATGTATAAGATCAGAGGAAAACGAGGCCACGTTTGATGAAAGAAGTGAAAAGGCAACCAAAGAAAATAAAGCACAGCTTCTATGTAACCAGTGACCTGAGACGGGTCTGTTTAATGGTCAGTCGAACCACACATGTTGTACCCCCAGCTCTGGTCCTGAAGAGCCCCAGTTCAGCTGGAACAAAGTTAGTTGAAAGTTAATTCACCGACTGAGGGCACTGGAATGTCCGCACAGAATGCTGCCCCACTTTTTTACTTTGAAACTGCGGATTTTCATAATTCAGTCGGATTTTTTGTCAGCACCACAAAATGTCAAATGTTAAGCAGCGGGACTTTTAAAAACTCTCCTCAGATCACCCTGGCCAAGGGTGTAATTCTGTTTGCACATTACAACACTTGATAATGATGCTATTATTCCAAACACGTGCTTGATAACATTTACTTTAAGATAATGACTGGATATTTGCTTGTGTGTCAAATGTATGATTTTGTGCGAGACTGATAAATTAAAACATTTATCAAAATACAATGATTGGCTACCCACTGAAGTTAAGCAGGGTTGAGCCTGGTCAGTATGAGACCTCCTGGGAAGCTATGGTTGCTGCTGGAAGTGGTGTTAGTGGGACCAGCAGGGGGAACCCACCCTGTGGTCTGTGTGAGTCCTAATGCCCCAGTATAGTGGTGGGGACACTATACTGTATTGGATGCCGTCTTTCAAATGGGATGTAAACCGAGGTCCTAACTCTCAGTGGTCATTAAAGATCCCTGGGAATTTCTCAATAAGGGTAGGGAGTTATCCCAGTGTCCTAGCCAAATTTTCCCCCTTGGCCTTTACAGTGTCTCCAAATTGTCCCCATGTATGATTGGCTTCCACTTGCCCTATGATGGACTGGCGTCCCCTCCAGGGTGTACCCTGCCTTGCGCTCGTTACTTGCTGGTAGACTCCGCATTATACCATACGGTGTTGCGGGAAGCCGGTTTGGCAAATGATAGGTCAATGATTATACAGTATTTATTGTATCTTAACCCTGTTATTATACCTCAGCAGGTTGATTCATACATTCCATGATAAGGCAAAACAAGTGTAAATACGTTTTATTATTGCATTAATAAAATTGTGCCTTTTATTTTTGTAATCTGCAATCAGCTTGTCCTCATATTGCCATTTGTTCCAACTGGCAGATTCTGATTTCTCAATTACTTATTTGAACACTTTTTGGGAGTCCTGTGTCAGTAACATCCCAAAGACACTTATTTTGTGGCATTAGGGAATAATCAGCTGAAAACAAGGACTTAGATCCC